CTCTTGGAAATGCAATTAGTATTCTGGTATCACAGCACACACTTCTCAGGATCGCGCTGTCCGCTCCAGACCCGTCGCCATCTTACGAGTGATACAGTCCAGTCAGGCTTCGAGGAGGGGCGTGGGGAGCTGCCGGGTCCTCGGAGCAGGGCGATCTACCCGCCAGCACAGCCGCGGCGCCGTTTCCGCGGCCGAGAGGGTAAGTTTCAAAAGACTTACTTTTTGATGTTAATATTAATTTATCAAGCACATTTATAAGTTTCAGGTAATAAATACCTTATTACAAAATATAATATCACTCATTTGAACTCTACATTTTGTCTTCAAAGAGCAAAATGTTAATTTTGAAATTATCATTCTGGTTGAATACCCAAGATACAAGAAAGCTTACTTATTTAATCACTTTCACTAGCAACAACTTGAGGGGAAAAAAAGACAAAAATACTTGGTCAGAGGAAATTTCTGTATTTGACATGTTGTCTTAAAAGAACAGCACTGGGCATCATTTCATAGCAGAAATGTTTCCTTCACACACACAGAGGTAACATGGTGAAAGAACATATCATTAAATGATTGTAACGGATCAGAAATATTAACACAAAACAATCAAAACAAATATCTTAAAATTTCCTTTTTAATAATAGAAACCTGCCAAGTAATATTTTTTAACATTTTAGTACCAAAAAAGAACAACTTGGCCTGGCAATACCATCAGGTGGTAGAAGATCAATAAAAAAAGTTTTTATAGTATAGGGCAGAAACTGTATAACTAATCCTAATAATTACTTTTTAAGATAGCTACCAAAATTTGCATTTTAGTGTACTGCTAAACTGTATAAATCCAAATGACAAAATGGAGAACAAAACAATCAAGCCAGTCCCAGCCTTATGCTAATCTGTACACAGGAGTTGGATCCTATCTGGTATTCCCATAGTTATCAGCTTTTCCCTGTCAAACTGCATACCTGAGATAAGAGTTTCATATTATCTTTAATTAGTATTAAAAATTCTAATTTTAAAATATTTATAATTATAATTTAAGTATAATGTAAGTTATAAATATAAAGTATACATACTTTATAGTATAAAGTATAATTTATAAAGTATACTCCACTAATTAAAAAATAAAAAGGCTAAAAAGTAGAGTTGGGAGGTTAAAAACTAGAAAAACTAAAGACATCTAAACCAGTGGTACATAAGGTTTTAGATTACCTATTTGCAGCAATGGAACTCTAGTTCTATCCATAATAACCTAAAATTACATTGACTAAATGTAATTTTAATCCTAAGAAAGACAGCATAACCATATGATCCAGCAATCCCACTACTGGGTATATATCCAAAGGAAATAAAATCAGTTTGCTGAAGAGAGAGCTGCACTCACATGTTTACTGCAGCATTATTCACAATACCAAGATATGGAAACAACTTAAGTGTCCATTATCAGATGAACAGATAAAAGAAAATGTATACAGTCATGCATGGCACGATGATGTTTTGGTCAACAGTGGACCGCGCATACAACAGTGGTTCCAGAGATTATAAGGAAGCTGAAAAATTCCTACCACCTAGTGACACTGTAGCTATTATAATGTCATAGTGCACTTACTGTATTACTTTTTAAAATAAATACAGTGCATACAACAGTGGTTCCAGAGATTATAAGGAAGCTGAAAAATTCCTACCACCTAGTTACACTGTAGCTATTATAATGTCATAGTGCACTTACTGTATTACTTTTTAAAATAAATACAGTGTAGCCTAAGTATTTATATAGTCCACAGTGGTGCACAGTAATGTCCTAGACCTTCACATTCACTTACCACTTACTCACTGACTCTTCCAGAGCAACTTCCAGTCCTGCAAACTCCATTTATGATTAAGTGCCCTATACAGGTGCACCATTTTTTATCTCATATATTTTTACTGTATCTTTTCTACGTTTAGATACGTAAACACCACCGTTACAAATGCGTACATTACTCAGTACAGTAACATGTTGTTCAGGTTTGCAGCCTAGGAGCAACAGGCTATACTATATAGCCTAGGTGTGTAGTAGGCTATATCATCTAGGTTTGTGTAAGTACACTCTACAATGTTTGTACAGTGAAGAAATCACCTAATGACACATTTCTCAGAACATATCTCCACTGTTAAGTGACACATGACTGTATACATACACTATGGAATACTATTCAGCCTTAGAAAAAGAAGGAAATCCTGTCATTTGTGACAACATGGATGAACCTAGAAGACATTACGCTAAGTGAAATAAGCCAGTCACTGAGACAGATACCACCTGATCTCACTTATATGGGGAATCTAAAAGAGTTGAACTCCACGGAGAGTAAAATGGTGGTTACTGGGGTGGGGGATTGGGGGGTGGTGGACTTTGGTAAAAGGACACAAAATTTCAGTTAGACAGGAGTAATAAATTCAAGAGATCTATTGTACATCACGTTGACTATAGGTAATAAGAATATACTGTATACTCGAACATTGCTGAGAGTAGATTTTAAGTGTTCTCATCACAAAAAAATAAGTGAAACATATGTTAAAGAGCTTGATTTAGCCATGCTATAACATATATATACCAAAACATCATGTTTTGCACCATAAATACATACAATTTTTACTTGCCACTTAAAAACAAGAGCAAGAAAAATAAAGACAGCATGGTCTAATTAAAAACAACAAAACAAAACGACTCCAGACTATAATATAGTACATCTAAGTTCTGGCTGAGTCGAGTGGAGTTTCGTTCGTGGTCTTGGTGATTAAGATCTTTGTCTATTCATGGGCAAAATAAAGGGTTTGGTCCAGATGCTCCTTCTAGTACTAAAATTCCATGTTTTTGATAATTGAAAACATGTTAGAAAAAATGTCCTATCTACATTTTATATTTCCTAGAATATCCATGTGCGTTTTTCACATTTCTTCAAACATAGCTGCAAAGAAGATATTATCAAATTTTGGAATAAAGGAGCTTTCAAATGTATAATTTATAATTTTATTTTGAAAACCTACGATGCAATCAAATAATATTTAAATAAGCCATCTTAGATTTTTTGATAATAATAAAGGTTCTTTCAAAAAGGCAAAACCTCTAGCTAAAGATACACACTCAAACAATTATTTGTTGTTGTTCTTAGTTTGAAAACTTAGCCTATTTGATATTTAGTACTTACATGCACTTTAGGTGTTGGGGGAAGACCGTTACTAATAGGCTTCTGGAAAAGAACACATGCATGATTACACTTTTTTACATTGTTTTTGCTGCTGTTTGGCATAATAATACTGTATTTCAAACACATTTATCTGAATAAAATACATGAATACATTCTTTTTTGTAAAACAAAACATTTCAGCTAAGGCTGAAGTTCCCTATAACCTTCCACAGCTCACTTATTTCTAGTACCTGCCCTCCAAAAAACCAGTTTGGTATGTATCCTTCCAAACTTTTCTCTAGGCGATTATATGTACTCATGTGTTTGTACAGCTTTCCAGACTTTTTTGTAGGTATTTACATACATGTCCCCACAGAAAATACTGTTTTGTGTGAGTTTTAAAACATAAGTAGTTATTCACTGTTTATCTGTTTGTTCCTTGCCTTAAAATTGGGCCTTGGACAGCATCCCATATCAGTCATATAGATCTAGTTCATTTGTTCTAACTGCAGCACGGTATGACTGTGACATACTTTATTTAGCTATTCCTTAATTGTTATTAAATATTTAGGTTATTTTCAACTTTTTACTGTCACAATGCTGAAATGAATATCCCTGTACTTTCTTATGCAATGTGTGAATGATGTTGTTATTGTGAAAAGTGAAACTACTGTTACACGTGGTCTGTACCTTTTACATTTTAGTGGACACTGACTGTAACAGGGCCTTTCAGAGTGTCCATATCACATCACGCCCACCAACAATATCTGAGAGTTCCTGGTTCCTTATAGTCTTACAGCAATATTATCAAGCTGATTAGTAAGAAATGTGTTCTCATGTGTTTTTCATTAATTTGCATGCCTCTAATTTCTAGGAAGGTTGAAAATCTTTTGTAAAACCCAGTATTTATTTTCTGTTTCCTCTTCTGTGAATAGTCTGTTCCTATTTTTTTTTTACTGAGTTTTTTTTTTCATATCTATTTGTTGGAGTTTTATATATTCTAGATTTGAATACTTTATCTGTTATATATATATTACAAACATTTTCTCCTAGTCCGTAGATTACCTTAACCATGTTTACAATGTGCTTTGTCAATAGAAGTTTTAAATTTTGATAAATTTGAACATATTAATCATTGCTCTGAGTATACAGACATTATGAGACCAAAAGTAGCACATTCATTCACACACATTATCCTCAAGAATGCCAGATATTTTTCCAAGGGGCCACACTCCTGAGTATATGAACTGTCCCCAGAGAAGGAATCTCCTTGGGTTAGAGTATACTTTAAACATGAATTTTATGAAAGTCTAGATTTCTTTCAAGGTTTTCTTAATAAGAGCATTTAAAAAAATTACATTATAATTTTTTCCTCAATCTGATATAAATCAGAATCATTTAAACAACGCAATCAAAACTAACAAAAAAGCTGTTAGTTGATTTCATATATATAAAAAAATATAAAATGAATAGATTTCTTTCAAGGTTAATCTTAATAAGAGCATTTAAAAAAATTACATTATAATTTTTTCCTCAATCTGATATAAATCAGAATCATTTAAACAATGCAATCAAAACTAACAAAAAAGCTGTTAGTTGATTTCATATATATAAAAAAATATAAAATGACATTTCTGAAATTAAGATATGATGTTTTACTTTGTAGATACTCTTTTGAGAATGTACAGCATCATATGATTGCCACCAATTTCTGATAACTTTTTATTCCATTTTGCAAATAATTTATGTACTTTTAAAAATACTGATGTCTTTAAATTATCTGGTACCATCTATCTTAGCAAAACAACTTTTTTTTTTTTTTTTTTTTTTTTTTTTTAACTTTTTTTTTTTTTTTTTTTTGTATTTTTCGTTATCAGTAGGGGATTGCAACCCTTGGTGTGGTGTCGCCCGCACCGCGCTCAGCCAGTGAGCGCACTGGCCATTCCTATATAGGATCTGAACCCGCGGCCGGAGCAGGGAGCGTCGCTGCGCTCCCAGCACCACACTCTCCCGAGTGCGCCATGGGGCCAGCCCGCAAAACATCATTTTTAATTAGGGATTTCTGAATGTTATAATCTCAAATTTAATTTAAGCATTAACAGAACTGGCTGTAAAAATTTCAAGAAGCTGCACAAACTGTAATCATGATCAATATATCATGGATACTGTTCATCCTATGACATAGCCATAAATGTATTTCTTTCTTTCTTTATTTTTTTCCTTTTTGTCTTTTTTCGTGACAAGCAACGGATCGCAACCCTCAGTGTCGCGCCCGTACCGGACTGGGACTGGCCACGGGATCGCAACCCTCGGTGTTGCTCCCGCCCCCCCTCGCTCAGCCAGTGAGCGGCCGGTCTGTATGTGGGATCCGAACCCTCGGTGGGAGCGCCACCGCGCTTCCCAAGCGGCGCACTATAGCAGTGCGCCACCGGGCCAGCCCATAAATGTATTTCTTTCAAAATTACTGACACTGTTATTAGTTCCTTATCCTAATGAATGAAGTAAGGCAACAGAAAAAGTGAATTAAAAATGCATATATAAAAAACACTTACATCTCTCAAAGGCTATTATGTACTGTGTTGCAGGCATTAAGCTGCAGTTTTGTATACTAGGTTAGCAGGACTACTAAAATTCAAACTGATGAAAGCAAAAAGGCACTGCTCATCCCCAAAGGACATTTTACACTTTTGTTAAAAGTGTCCTAAATTTCATAAATTACAATGGATAATCCCAGTCAAATGCCTTAACTAAATTAAAAAAAAATCATGTCATATTCTATAGTGAAATCTTTTTTAAAAAGTTAAATATAGTACAAAAGCCTCTAGTGATGTTTACTACACAAAACCATGGAATATATGTGCATAAAAAAACATATTAAATATATTACAAATTTCTATAAAAATTAGAAAATATTAGTATATACAAAAACTTCAAAAAAAATACTCTCATATCACTGATATTTGTTGAAGTACTGGGGATTTTAAGGATTTTTTTTGCTGTTGTTTTAAGTTGTATGACGATAGACAAATGTCTTCCAGTGATCGAGTCAATTCTCTACAAATGTTTAAAATTTTTCATCTCTTATGATCCCTGATAAATAATACTTAAGTTTTAATAGTTCTGTCATAGCGTTTTATCTAATATTTGTGGCATGTGTAACTACTAAGGCTAATTTCACCTTTTGGGAGTGATATATCTGCTACAAAATAATCTTAATTTCCCGTTATCTATCTTCTTTGCATAAGAGCAATAATATCACTAATTATATAATCTTTAGTCAGAAATCTGTCCTGGGGTAGAAGCTATTGCTTTCCTTATCTACGTCCTTCTTTCCATAACTTCTTGAGACTGTAAGAGAAACTTCTAAGAATCAATTCTCACCAATGAAAATAATAGTTATTTTGTGAATAATCATAAGAATCCTGTGTTTGCCTGTATGAAGATCACATTTTATGATACACTAAATAACAAACTGGTCTAAAAAAGTTAAACAGATAGCTATCACTTAAATTTATCATAGCAAAGTTACTATTTCTCAAGATTTAAATAATCTATTCATCATTATAATTAATATACTAAGATGTCAACATAGTAATTGTAAAATAACAACTGCTAGTTTCACTAATTATAAGTGTGAAACCACTAACTTTAGTGAAAAATGAAACAAATACAAGTAGAGCTTATAAATATCAATACCTACTGGTACATCTTTCTTTTCTTTCCTTGAAAGGTTTGTGCCTCTGTATTCATTCTGTTGTTGATGTAATGAGCCATCTCGTTCACCATTTAACTGGAAAGAACTCACTCCATTTCCTTCAATAAGATATGTTTAAATATATTGAAAAACAACAAATTTTCATGAAAATTTTCATTCAGAAAGTATCAAGTAGAAAAGAAAAATTATATCTACTAGATAGTTTAATTTTTCATTTGGGATCGTCCAATGAGAATATTTAGTACTGAAGTAAGAAGTCGTATGTATATATGCTTTACTTCTGGCATATTAGGCAAATTTAAATTCAGGTTGTATCTAAGTACACGTATTTGTTTACATTAAAGAGACTAAAAAGAAATAAGGAATTCATAACTACTTTAAGGAAAGGGGTAATTTATATTATGTTATCCAAGAAAGTTTAGTTGCTCTTTTCTTAATTGCTTCTTTTGGAAAAGACAGGAAATCTTACAGTGTTAAGACAGCAGCTTCTACCATTAATTTGGAGGCAAATACTTAGCAAACAATGACAATCATTTTTCTAAAAACAATTAAGTGAAATAAAATAAAGGAGTTAGACAAAGTACCCCCAAGTATCCTCTTCTTTTCTAAAAAAGAAGTAGCTTAGAACCAAAATACATTTTCCTTGTTTGTTCATAATTTAATTTCTATTGTTTCTACACTGAAGCTAAATGATTAATGGGCATAAACTTGTCTCCAAAAGAGGGAAGGCTAAATATAAAATGCAAAAAAAGGGGCAAAATATCCCAGACAGGGTAATAGGGAATTCTGTCGTAAAAACACTTTGAATTATGAGGCAAAAAACAGAAAACATCTCCATAGCCACTGCTTTCCTTCCCTTCTACCTCAAAGGAATTTCAAATAATCTCTAAAAAGAAAGATTTCCTTCTTTTTTTTTTCACATAATATGAAAGAAAACCTGGTAACATGTATAACGTCACTCTCCACCATTACCTAAAGCAATAGGCTTTTGTGGGGGTAACCTGGGAGGTGGTGGCCTAGGTGGAACTTGGGATGGTTTTGCTGGGCTCCCTGATGTGGGACATCTCTTGATTGTTCCTTGATTATCATCCTCAGTAGAATGAATTTCCTGTGGTATAAAGATGGACTTAGGCTGAAATAATACAGAAAGGGAGATCAATTACTAAACATAAAATTATTTTCCTGAAGAAAACATTATTACATACCAGAGGCTTTCAAACTATGTTTATCAGATGAGTTTCAAGGTTATTCAACTATCCAATTCAGATCATCTTAATATATTATTAAAAATATAGCCTAAAAATGCACACTAACATGTTTTCTCAGGTTTTGCTGCTGTGCAATTTTTTTTTAAAAAGGCCTCTATGTCTTCCTATTAATTCCTTACAAGCCTCCCACTTAGACTTGCCAGATAAAAATATTCTAGTTTTTCCGATCTCTTCCAATCTAAATGAATCTTTTCTTTTAAATATTCAAGCTAATCAAAGTTCAGCTCCTTATCAAGGCTAATCTAAGCTGTCTCTTAGATGATTCCATGTCTTTATGATAATGCTTATTAATCTTTCAAACCAGGCACAGGAGAAGATACCATTAAAACTTTATCATATTGGAGAATACCAACAGCAATATGGGATGCCTGAGAAATTTTTTCTGCAGAAAGTAGAAAAACCTCCCGTCAGCTGAAAGTTGGGAGAATTTATAAATTCTTACAAATATGTTCCTTATAAGGAAGATTGCTCTGCACCTATTTCTTTGAAATTCAGATCTCTTTACTTTTGCTAACATAAAACTAAACAAGCAAGTACAGCATTATTTACTTGTGTAAAGCAGAATTTTCTCACAGAAATACAAAATAAAAACAAAATACAGTAATAAACTGAGCCAAGAATGATAAAACTTCGACTCTCATTTATAATTCCCTGATTTCAAACTTTAAAACAGTTCATTTTATAATTAAAATCTTCTATGCATATGAACTTATTAAAATAAATGCATTTTACCACTGTCTATAGTAACTCATTTTACCCTTAAAAAAACCATCAGTTGGAATTATTTTGTTTTATGATAATTTTGTTTGGCAAAGAATTTTGTTAACAATTTTTTGAAAATTACTCTACTTTGTATTTTTAACTTAAAATTATCATTTAAATATTAAATATCTATGATAATCAATCATTATCCTTTACCCATTCTCAGAAGTCAGTTAATAGTAGACTGTAGATTTAGAGAAAAATATAAAATATGTGAGTTTTCTAATCCAAGTGAAATAATACTTATCCATTAATATAATCATTTTCAGTGTATACATTTCTAGAACTTGTTACTTATAATGAATACTACAAGACAACTTGGGCATTTTAAAAAAGACAAAAATAATCAAAATCATGTACTAATATCATGGATAGAACTTCATTTTTCTTTGTGGATTACAAAAGAAAATAAGCTAGAGTAACTATCAATACAGTATTAGAGTGGCCAGAACTATAACACATAGATAATTCAAATTAAAAATAAATTTGTCTACCTTTGGTGGTAAAGGAGGTGGAACTTTTGCTTTCATGGTTGAACTAAAAACACAAATGTTTAGAATCAGAACTCTTCATTTTACAAATAAATCATTACTAAAATATAATTATTTTTTCAAAAATATGGCAGAAAAACTTGCAAAAACAAGTACCATTTTCTAAGATCATGAGTTTTTTCCAAAATATTTTGTGAAGTATTCAAGTTATATTGAATGAGGTATTTTTCAGAAGTAATTAGGTAGATATACTTTCTTGGTTTCAAATACTGTATAGTAATTAAAACTGGAAAAGAAAACTACAATTCTAGTTTATTTCAACTGAAAGATAGTTAATATAAGAATGTATACAACAGCTGGTTAGAAAAGAAGATACAGTATAAAATAAATCACATTGTAAGCTTCATTTTGCTACTGTTAGATATGAAGTATCTTTATGAAGCTCATCAAAAGCTATCTATGTGCTTTATGAAATTATAGGCAGAATTTAATTGAAGATAAGATTCATTACAACTCATTACCAGTTTTAGAAACAGAAGGAATTAAAAGATGATCAAGCACAAACTTCTCAGATGAGGATATTGAGGCCCAGGGAGGTTAGGTGACCTGACCCAAGATCACAGAGTAGTGAGGTAGAAAGGAAAAGCTACGTCCCCAACTACGAGTGCATCTTTCTTAAAAAAAAAAAAAAAAAAAAAAAAAAAAAAAAAAAAAATGAAACATCAATGCATACATAAATACTTAATAGTGAGGAAAAAATACTATCTTTAGAAAATGCAAGAAGGTCTACTGTAAGACAGAATTTTATTTCTATATCTTTATAGGATAGATTCAGAATTAAAACTAAATAAAACAATCTTAGGCTACATGCCAGAGAAGAGGGCAAACTGACCTTACTCATCTGTGACAAAGAGTATAAAGTCTTTTTTTTTTTTTTTAGAGTATAAAGTCTTTTAAGCGTAATTAAAAGTTAAAATTACCGCTGATGTAATTCTTCTTCAACGGACTTCAAAAGACTCCTTAAGAGGAAAAAAAAAAAAAGTGAACAAATAAGCAAAGGAATACAAAGTCTATATATATATATTTTCCCCCAAGTATACATTTTTATCATTTTAACCATACCCACATATTTTTTGAACGATGACTTTTTTTTTTTACCATTTACTTAAAATTTGCTGCAATGATCACCTGTGTACCATAAAACATTAAGTTATATTTAATGAGATTCCTCTATTTTCTGTAGCTAATCTTTTTAATGTATTTTAAATGAACAAAATAAATCCTGATGTTTACTGAAAATTACCAATTCAAACAGAAGACAACCCACCATGAAATGTCACAACAGTACTGACAAAACAATAATTGCAGGGTCATAGTCAGGGGTTTCCAGGATTTGAATTTTACCTGGAATATTATACCTGACACCTGAAATTATATTTTCTTTTTCTTAAAATAAGGAAGGTGACACACTTTAAAAAAACATCATGCTCTCAGGCAATCCTACAAAATGAAACTCAACATGTTGGATCTCTCTGCAGAAGCATGCATGCATGTGATGTGAATACATGAATGTAGTAGCACTTTGCTTTCACGGAAGACACTCACTTACCTGAAGTATTTGTTCTCCAGTGGTGCACTGGCAAACACATTTACACTTTTGGGAGACTAAGCCTGTATCAGACCAGGTGCGAGGATTTTACCATTAGGAGCAGTATATAAAACTTTAATTTTCAGGAATGTAAGAGAGAACTTAGGGCATTCCTGAAGTTCCCTTACTTCTTTTCACTGCAAGTTCACGTAGCATAACTCCTAAATTATACTCTTCAAGCATAAAAACCTAAATAGCCTTCTCAAAGCTAATGGGATAGAGAGAAATATAGTTATTGATAAATTACTGGGATAAAAGTGATTCAGCAGAAAATTTATTCTACCTAAAAGTTATACAGTAGCACCTTCTAATCATTTCCCCCTCGTAATACATATTGAAATAAACTGCCCTTAGAATTATCAAAACATAAAACTACAAAAATGAAAGGTATGGCTATCTACTGTAAGCAATGAATAGAATAGCTTTTTGCCATCAAAATCTTAATTAGGCCCACTTAATAACAATGTAAGTTTTAAAAAATGACCAAGTTATAAATCTGGAGTTGTAAATCATATGGGAAAACCATACACTAATTTCAAGTCTTATTTTGCAGACAGAAAATTTGAGTTAGAATAGTAAAATATTATCTTATTTACAAAGCTTTCCAAAGGCTGAGCTTTTGCCTAGAGGGATTAGAGCAACATGATGACAGGTTTAAAGCAGACTGCCTGAATCTGAATCCTGCTTCCTCTATCGCAGTATATGGCCTTGGGTATAAGTTACTCTGATTTCCCTATGCTTCACTTTCCATATATGTCAAATGGGAATTCCAATAGTACTTATATCAAAGTGTTTGAAGATATAATGAATTAATACAGGTAAAGTGTTCAGAAGAGTAATTTAGAACATAGTAAGTGCCTGATTAGTGTTTTCTTTATTATAATTGACTAAGCAAAACTAGAACTTCTCAAATTGTGGTTCAGGGATCCTGGGGGGTTCTCCTGTAGGTGTCTGCAAGGTCAAAACAATTTACATAATACATAATCCCCTTTTCACTCTTATTTTCTCATGAGTATACACTGGAGTTTTCCAGAGACTACAAGCTGTGTGTTATCATAACAGAAAAATGCAGTAGCAAACATGAGAATTTAGCTGTCTTCTATTAAGACAATGTTACAAAAAAAAAAAGAATAAATAAAACAATGCCACCTTTCTTACTAATATTATTTTATTTCAGAAAAAAAGAGCTACGTTCATTAAAAATTTATTGGTGGGCCTCAATAAAAAGTTTGCAGTATTGCATTGACTTATTGGCTGCCTCTAAGTCTCATAAGAGAAGTCAGTGGTGTCATAAGGAAGGCACTGCGAAGAGGTGGCATTTGAACTGATACTTAAGGAGGAGGAATTTTTAAAAAACACACAAAAATGCATATTATTTATGATAATATATAATGAGTATATTATTACTTTAAAACAAATGAGGAGGAATTTTTAAAAAACACAAAAATGCATATTATTTATGATAATATATAATGAGTATATTATTACTTTAAAACAAATTAATAAATATTTAAAAATTTCTGTTTAATTTCCAGTAATATAAATATTGATAGTTTATAACCTCTATAAACATAAGCTCTTTGGAGTCCTCAATAATTTTTAAGATTGTAAAGGGATCCTGAGAACAAAATTTGAGAAGTGCTGCTTTAAACTATTTTATCAAATTAAACATAATGTCTCTGAACTGCACAGTGGGCTTTTATATCATTTTAGAAGATGTAAAATAATACATTTTATTAAGCACATGACAGTTCTTATTGAGGCATTTCTTTCTCAGTAGAGAATAAAAGAATTTGAAAATAATTAGAAAGAGAATTTAAAATGTAGTTTTACTTTCAGTTACCATATTAAATTAGATTTATATGGCATCTGACTTAAAAAGAATCTTCCTGGGAGTTCTCTAGCAATAAGAGAAAGGGTGAATAAGTGAACACAGAAAACCAAATAGCCTATGACCCAAAGGATGCATATACATTTTTTTATTCACTTATTTATAAATCTTCTACTATGTATTATGATATTTTGTTAAAGTTACAGAATTCATAAAGTCTTAATGAAAAGTAGAATGCATGATTTACTTTTTAGGCTTTATAAAAGAGAAAATGAAACGGTCAAATTTGCTAAAAGGTCTGTCTACAGTAAATACTGAATTTGAGAGCACTGGAGAAAATGTGATACTAATTTATTCACCAAGATTGAGTGCTACACAATAAATAATGTCACTGCTCACTAGTCCACTTGAATTTTTCTATGATGGAATTTTTTTTTTTTTCCTTTTTGTCTTTTTTCGTGACCGGCAACGGATCGCAACCCTCAGTGTAGCAGTGCGCCACCGGGCCGGCCCCCTATGATGGAATTTTTTTTTTTTTCCTTTTTGTCTTTTTTCGTGACCGGCAACGGATCGCAACCCTCAGTGTAGCAGTGCGCCACCGGGCCGGCCCCCTATGATGGAATTTTTAAAAAGTAAAGAACAAAACAAAAATAGTGCCCTTAGATACCGAATTACTCAATCAATCTAAAATGACTAGGAAATTTTGCTGAAAAGGTTAAAAATGAAACGATGTACAAAGAGACTTAACTGATGAAATGAATAAACTGTTAATGGAGAAGTCTAAAACCACCACCAAAATACTTAGCATATTTGAATTAGCTAAGGAATCTGTGCTGCATGTTACTAAAATCTTTCAAAATTGCCTAACTGACCTAAAACAGTTTGTAAGTACTGCCCTGATTATGTTTTAAAATGAAAAACTCTATTTCTCTAAAACTGAAAACCAGTTTTATTCACTCGTATTATTTACTTGCTCATAAAATCAACAATTATTTACTGAGTAACTACTCTAAATAAGGGCAACTAGTACGTACTTACTAAGTCCTAAATGTGCTAACTGCTTTACAATGATTATTTCACCTCATTCTTAGTACTCTATGGGGCAGGTACTATCATAATTCCCATTTTATAAGAGAAAATGTAGGTGAGTTTCTTAAATTCACATAGTTTATACAAAAGGAAAGTAGTGACTTCAAATCTGGCATTAACTACTACTATGCTCAATTGTGCCAGAAATTACATAATTCAATTTACTTTTTTGCACTGTTATTTAAGTTATTAGAAGAAAATTTATCATTAGAATTTCTGCTCTACGTTAAAAAAAAATCGGAAAGTTTTCTTTTAAAAATAATATTTTGTTGGTTTTAAAGCAAATGGTCAGAAAAGTTGACCCCAGTGCTATCAAAATTCAAAAGAAAGGGCAATAATCCAGTATAAGTCAAAACACACGAAAAAGAAAAATCCTGTGTAACAATTCTAATTAGTTCCTGCATGGTCTGCAATAGGTAGAAACCCATAAACGGAAATCTGTCTGCCTGATCACCTATGGAGAAAGCAGGAAATCCTGTGAGTTTTAAAACACTGCACAAGAATAAAGCAGACATATCAATACGGCAAGAGAAGTGCTACATCCATGCTCATGTCACATGTATGTATATACCTATACATGAAACACAGCCAAACGTCAAACTTTTGGCCAACCTACCTTGCCAATGATTCGTTATATAGAATACAGTTCCTTAAGCAGGGATCCAATTAATCAAAAAATGAAGGTTGGGCAAATTATTAACATTTTACCTAGCCAAAGTAACTATATACTATGAAAATGTCTAACAATCAGAAATCAGGCAACGGGAATTAAGAATCTGGAAAAACATTTAGTGATGGGTCATTTTTTTTGTTTTTGCAAGTACAACTTTCAAAACGTATTTTAAATGAACCAAAAAAAAAAAAGTAAATGAAATATTTTTTCAATTATTCAGTCTCTTAAAATAGGTTCTTAAAACTAGCAACTTCATATTTAGAAAAAAATAATACAAAAAACACTTCAGAATTTTATATCTTCTAACCCACTATGAGACAAGTTTTCCCTTGTTGTCCCACAACAAACTACGACAATTTATAAGTAGCAAGTAGTTACTCTTTGGGTAAAATCTCACTTTCCACGAGGGAAGTTTTCCACTTATTTTCCACTTTAAGAAACATAAGGCTAATAATAATAATAATAACTAAGGCTTAATAATATTATCAAGGCTAATAATAATAATAATATAAAGAAAAACCCTCATAGTTTTTAACTGAAGTTCAGCTTAAATCAAAACTAATGTGTTTCTCTAGGCTGTCATTCAAAGCCTTTTCTCTGTGCTGGGAAAAGAGTATATTTAAGTAAAAAGCTAAACAGTAAGTTTATTAAAAAAAAACAGACATGATTTTGCATTATTATCCTTAAAACTAAGCTTTTTTTTTAGTCTATTTCTCAACTGCTTAACTTAACTGGGAATACATATGTCTCAACTCTCCAATAGAATTAAAATTATATTTTGAAATTTTAAGTTATTCTTATTAAAATAATATCTACATCGCTCAAAGATTTTGGCAATTTAAATAACATTCCCCTATAAATTAGATTTTATAATAATAATTTGTCCTTGAAGTCAGGAAATGAAAGTCTAAGGGGAATAGCAGAGCCCTGTCTCTCATACCTTGTTAACTCTGGTGTTAATGGACAACTTAATGGACAACTTACACTGTTAAAGTTTGTAAGCTGCCTTTTTACCACTGTGCTCCTACCACCTAGACAGTGCCTGGTATGAAGTAGGCATTGAATAACTATTGAATGCATTTTGGGGATAAATTAATAACTTTTAAGACTTCAGACACATTTTAACTACTATCTACTTTTTAAGACTCTAATAGCTAAAAGTTTTTAAGATGAAGATTTCTAAATAGTGTGAATTACTCCAGTTGTTTTCAGCGGCCAACTCATGAGGGCGATATATGAAAGCAAGTTTTGTAAGGAATAAACAGGTCAACTTTAGAAATAAATCAACTGCTGAAACATATATTTGTCTTCAGTTGGAACGTACTTAGTTTTCTATAACAAGATCAGCAAAGTAGCTTGATATAAAAATTCAAGTTGATTCTCCCCATTATGAACATTACTAACAAAGTGAGCAATAAAATAATGGAAAAAAATTAAAAGTATATTTTAAAATATATCTACCAGTACAATGAACTACTTTAAATATTAAAGTATAATATTAAAGGCAACTTAATTACTTTTGAATTTAAATTAATTTTTAGAAGAACTTTACTTACTTGTTTGCACCTAAAAAGTAACTACCTTGGTGTCCTTGTCCATATTCTAGTTGTAGATCCTAATAGTACAAAATAAAATATTTAGCAAAATAGTAGTATATCACATATCATGATACACTAACACGTATTATTTTTAAAAGAAACCCCCCTCAGACCCCAAATAAATCTGTATTGCTATGTGTTCTTAAAAAGAAGGCATGGTAGGAGTTCTAACAATAAAAGATTTCATTAATTTGATATGTACATGCTTTTGGAAGACTTTAGAGAGCTATTTCAAACAACTGTAGAGATTATAAAAAGAAATATGTATATTCCAATGTTTTACATCTCCAGTTTTTGTGAAAATTTGAAGCCTTACTTTTACAGTATTTTGTTATTCATCTGTTATTCAGTTCTTGTATTTACTTGAACAAATAAATGTGCATATCCTTGTTTAAAAATAAAATAAAATAAATAAAAGACTTCAGAAGTCTATAGACCTGATTTAAGTATTTTATTATTTAAATTAAGTATTTTTCTGGGAATTCTTCCAGACAATATATGTAAGTTTCATTTATGGCTATTACTACTGTAACTAACATTTGTAAAAACCAGTTTTTAGAAAGAAAAAAGATGGTATCTATTCTCAAGCTATAATGATGCAAAAATAATAAGAAAAGAGAATAAGCAACAATAAAATCTTGGTTTCATTTGTATATAGGATCTGATATAATTATGTATATAGACTTACATATTTCTATTGCTGCTTCATGCAGGTAATAATTTTTTAAAGATATAAAATTGGTACTATTTTTAAAGTAAATTATATGTGTGAACTTGTACACGATTGTAAATTGCATTGAAGGACTTTTAAGAATTTTTTAAAGAGTAAAATAGCAAAACTTCAAATGAATATTAAGGCAGTTCCTCAATTATTTAAACATTTCCACTGAATGCTGTGAATTGCAGAGTGTTAAGAATTAAAATTTAAAGGGATGAACAATATATGTGGTCAACTCAAACTCTTTCTTGAGAAAAATAAATGTACTTTCCAACAACCCGGGAAAGTGTAAAGCTGCCTTTTCTCCCCCTTTAAAAAAGCACTTTTAAACACTTTTTTAACTATAAAGGGGAATATGAGCATTTTAAGGGAATTTTATTTTTAGTCGCATATAGTGTACTTAAAGTGCTTTTCATTTTTACAAGATATTGTCAGATACACGATTAGGGATTAATGCAAAAGTCACCTTGGAGCTGCCTTCCAAGACTGTCCAGGAAGATATCTGCAGGCTTCTCCATGTCTCCAAGACATTTAACACATAGATCTCCTCTAGCACTTACAGTGCATTTTAATCTATCTACAAGTCTGTAGAAATATATCCAGGTTGTTATCTCCTCAAAGAGAAATGCTCAAATCTATCTTCCTTCCCTACAGCCTAGGTACCTAGCACACACTGACTGTACCCTAAATAAATGCTAATTCAAATGCCAATTGTTTATTTTCCTATAAAAAGATAACTAACACCTCAGCCTTGTAAAGACGCACAAAGGTAATCCTAGATCAGAAAAATACTGAGCCTAGGAATATAAGGATTCTAAACAATACATTATATTTAAGAGAAAAGCACTTTAAAATTTAAGTACTCTAAGACCTGTCAAAAAAATATCTGATGAAAAATCCAAATCGTGGTTTAGGCAAGCCTCAAATTTTTTCTTCTTCAACATTTGTGCTTTTTCATGCATAATAGTAAATGCTCTTACCAGTGACAGAAAAGATAACACATCATAAACAAAAAAGATTAGTCCAATGTCACATTGTTATCACATGAAATTCTGATGAAAAAGGACACCCGTTCTCTTTAATTTATAATGATATGTCTTAACAGGATAAGATCACTGTCACCACAAGACTGCCACACAATAATTATACTGCACAATTCAAGTGGTCACGACTTTACATAGGAATCTTTAAACTTTGGTATTCAGTAAAGAGAAATAGTAAAGAGAAATACTAATCTCTATAGATAAGCTTCTAAGTTCCAGTTTGTTTCCTTCAGCTTTAAATAACTGGGCCCCCTACCAGAAAAGCAACATCTGTAGCCAATATAATCTTTTAAGACTTTAACCAAACAATAGCTTCCAAAAGCACACATTTGTGCAGAGTGGCCATGACTTCTGTTATATAAACACAGATGTGTTATAAGAATATCCAGCTCAGCTCATCTAATACATGAAGTTTAGAAGGCTGATAATAATGATTTAAAAAAAGAAAATTAATTAAGATGAGCAGTATACTTAGGAAGGTAAGAGAAGTGTATAAAATATTTAAAGCAATATTTTAATAGAAAATTGAGCATAGGCTCATATATAGAATAACATTCAGGCTGGGGAGAAGTTCTATATAGATCCAAGTTCTGATGATTAAATGTGTCATATCCCAAGTCCTACCAGGAAAGCTAAAATTGAAAGAGGCTCATTCTTCAATAATTTCTTCTTTCTAAATCAAGTTATGTTATTGAAACCATGGAACAAAAACAACGTGCTAGGCATATCATCAAGTATTATGCTAAATCCTTTTAATAAGTGTCTAATCTCATTTAATACAACCATTATTTACCAAGCACCTATTACATGACAGGAATTCCGACAGTAAGTCAGATAAGAAAAATGAGAATAAATAAACAAAACAGAAAAGAATAAAAGTAAAACCATAGCAAAGTCAGTATTTATTTATGTATCTTCAGAGGATCTAAAACTCTTTAAAAGAAGGATTTGGAAGCTATTCCATATTAGAAAAACGCTACCAATATTAAGCTTGGAAAAGTACTCAAAATAACCCAAGAGGGTATCATATGACCATCCTTAATAAGCTAAATAAGAATATGTGTGAGCAAGCCAGCATTAAAAAAAAAAAAAAAATTAGTAGTGTTAATCAGCCCTCAAGTTATTAATGAATGACAATGTTTAACTACACAGCAAAGTCAAATAACTAACAACACGGATTAAAAACATGCAATAACCTAGTACAGATTCAACCTGAAGGCTCAAACAAAAGTTCAAAATGGTTATCCTAACCCAATTAAATATCTTTTTGAGTCAGAAAGTCCTAATTTCAGTGGTCACTTTTAAGTGAATGTGGGAGTATTTCCAAACCTAAAATGGAGCTTCTAAAAAAACATGGTGTGGGAAAGAACTGAAAAAGAACAAATGATGTAACGCAGAACACTGGAAAAGGAAAATGTATAATCAAAAAAATCTTATTGTAGTTTTTTTTTTTTCAGTCCCTTTGGGAGATTACAAAGTCTATACCTGATGAAAAAATGGCAGAAAGGCAACAGAATTGATACAGTTGGTTACAAAAACACAAAAGAAAAAAATACTTTAGCAATATATCTTAACCAAGAAAAAAAAGAATGGGAGAAATTTTTTCTCATTAAAAAATGAGAAAATCGGGCCGGCCTGGTGGCGCACTGCTGCAGTGAGCCGCTTGGGAGCGTGGCAGCGCTCCCGCTGAGGGTTCGGATCCCACATACAGACCGGCCGCTCACTGGCTGAGCGAGGTGCGGGGGCAACACTGAGGGTTGCGATCCCGTTGCCGGTCCCGGTCCGGTGTGGGCG